GTATGGTATGAATGAACTACTCTATATCACTATTACTATTGTCCTTGCATGTGACAGATTGTAATATCTCAATAAATAAGTTCAAAAAAACAAAAACAAAATTTAAAACTAAAATTTTAAAATATCGATAGGACGGTATTGATAGTCGATAATATCGAAATAGATACTACCGATGGGAAAATATCAAATATCGGAAGAAAAATATAGATATTTCGATAATATCGACTATCTATGGCTATTCCTAAGTTAAATCGAATTTCCAAAGTTGCTGCAGAGCTGCATGAAGGTAACTAGAAAGCAATAGCCCGAGATCTAGAAGGCTGCGAAAGGTCTGCTAACTCATTAATAAATGCGATATGTAGTATTTGTTTGAGAGGTCTTCGTTTAATATTTATTACTAGTTGACCTGTGCGAAAAATTCCCTGAAAATTTTTTTTTTGTGAAGAAATAGCAAAACAATATGGAAATAAGTAGTTCCTATGTATCATGTAAGGAAGGAATTAATATTTCCTTGGTGATTATAATATTCCATTAAACATAATAGACCAAAATATTTGTACATATTGCTTTGGTAGGACCTATTTTTATCGCTGACTGGAAAGATATTAAAAGTAATAAAGACAAAATAATGCCCCGATCATGAGATATTCTAAATTATTAAAAAAAAAAAATGTAAGAACAACCAAATTTCTTTAATAAACCATAAAGTTAACATATCAAACATGAAAAAGTATAGTAGACTATTCTACTCCTTAATGCAATATCTTAAAACAGAAAAACATTAATAAACTAATGGACTGTTTGTTAATAATTGTCCGATTTTTACGATTATTTTTTTTGTTTTGTAGGTAATTTAGTAATCTTTCTAATTATCATGGGTGCAATCCAGAGAAAAATGCATACTTTTTGAATTATTCGCAAATAAAAATTCTTTTCTTCCATAACTTTTTTTACAGAAATTTCGGGGATAGGACTATTTTTCGCATGTGAAGGAGAAGAATATCTTCAAAAAGAGTGGTCAATCTTTGGATTTGATGAAGAATTGACGAAGTTATGTCCTACCGACAAAAAAACACCTCTTAGAAATAATATATAGGATTATTTTCTTCCTTTAGTCTATTGACTACTCTCTTGACCAACTTCTCTTCGAAATATACATACTGTTAACAATATGCACACCACTATTTGCGTAAAAGGACCATGGGAAAGATATTACTTCAATAAGTCTAATTGGTTTAGGTGAGGGACGAAAACAAATATATTAGATTTTTCGTAATATACTTTTTTGGGGGGAGGGAGAGGGAGCCTTCAACCAAAAAGTCCCCTCCTCATAAACCCGATAGTGCTTCTATCTAATCATATGTTCTTAAAAGAAAACGAAAAAAAATTTAATTTGTTGAAACTTGATTTTTTTTATTTGATCTCTGTCCATATTTTTAAAATAATTTCTTAGAACATTAGTTATCAAACTCGAGATATAAACGTTCGCGTGCCCAAGTCATTTTGATACTAAAATTGAATTAACAAACAAACAAATAGCAAATAGACAAAATGAGGATAAAATAAAAGGATTACGGTAGTGTTTAATCAACTGACTAAACAGTAGTCAATATTTGTTATTTATTCCTCTTGCACCCATACACTAACGCACTAGCGGATCCAGGATTTAATTTTGGGGGGGGGGGAGGGAGGCTTCAACCCGAAACCTTTTTTTTTTCATAAAAATAACGATAATTACTTTGGAAAAACAGAAAGAAACTAACTACCTATATGAAATGGTGTTTAAGTTATTCCTTAAGTATTTTTGAATGTAATTACACGAACAACAATACTTTAAGAGGTATTTTTTAATTTTTTTTCCCATAAAACATGGTTATATTTTTCCACATAGGGGGGGGGGAGCTTCAGCCCGAAAGCCCTCCCCCCGTAGATCCGCCCGTGCACTAATGGATTTTAGAAAAGTGAGCTTCCGGACTGATAGTAGTAAAGACCTCTTTTCATAAAATTAATAACATCCACCTAAGATTTTGTAAATGGCTTCCTCTCGTTATAACCCAAAAATGTATATCTATGAAACATCTGACAAATAGGGCGTTTTCTTATTAAATTAATTATTTAATGACTTTTACAGTGATCTCCACTCACATGTCTGAAACACGAAGTTACTTTGGCCAAACGGTCCAATATTTTTCTTAATTTTATGATCGAATTACCTTACGATCTAAATGAAAAACAAATGGGAGTATTTATGGGAGTTTTTAGTACCTAATTAAATAAACAAAGCTTGCCGATCTCTAGATTGAAAACGCTCTAATTGTTAGAATTTCCCAAAATAAAAAAAGTTGTTGGTAGTTTGATAAAAAAAGAGGTCTGTAAAATGGATATTCATATAACGGCACATTTTGACGGAGTTATGAATTATCGAAATGAAAAGTTTCAAACCAGGTGACGATCGGAAAACATGTGCATTTTAATATTATGAGCATATTTCATTATTTTTCATTTCTAATTTGTGGTAATAATTTTATTAATTATACCTTTATATTTTTGTTCGATTTATCTCAATAGATACTTTAAAAAAAATGCTTTCCTTAAATAAAAATCTGGTGCGCGCAACACACAACTTTCACTTACCGATCTACTATGAATAGAAATTATTTTCTGGCAATGCTGGGCTATTATAATTTTTTTTAAAGTGCATTTTAAACGGAGCTAAAGCTTAAAGCTTACAGATAACAATTCATTAAGACCATTATAATTACAAAATGTCTATTTAATATATCGACAACAGGCAATAAAAATCTAGTCACTCCAACTGATTTTATAAACCACACAACTTTCTTTGCTTTTATAAACTTCAGAATGACTAACTCCAATTGCAATATTTTTAGTTGATAAAGTTATCTATGAAGAATATGAGTAAGTTGATTCCGGATGGGGTGATTGCAATGTTGAAATATAAAACTGAGAATAAAGGTATAAATTTAGGTACTTATTTCTTATGAAAAATGTTCTTAGGAAAGATACTTTATTAAATATCTGTAGAAAAAAGTTTTTTTTAGTCTCAACAATTAAAAAAGTATATTTTAAATTTATCCAAATTTTCGCCTCTTCAGGGGAAAAAACTAGAGACCATATCTTTCCTCCTAATTGTCCGATCTTAACGATTTTTTTGTTTTTTTTTTAGGAAATTCCATAAACTTTTAAAAAACCATATTAAAGGTACTTTAGAGGAAGACGTATATGAACATTGGGCATTTAAGCCCTGTAAAGTGATATCAATGGGGATAAGACCTAATTGATATTAAAGACCACTTAATTATGCAATAATACACCGAGTTCAATCAAAATTGTTAGAGCCGTTTTTGAGAAAATTGTGAACATGTGTTTCAGCATTGATATAAAGTGGCACTTCCGGTTAGCCGATTTTAAGGAAAAACTTGCCGTCACATCTAAGGCATATACCTATCTTAAATACGTAATATCAGTTTCGTAGGAATTTTCGTTTTTGAGCTAGACTGCTAACATAAAACACACAGACCATCTTTCGGGACTTGGTCATTTCGACTCAGGGTACCTCAAAACGTCTATTTCCGTTGAAAACTCAGATTCAAAAATTTTCTCGATCGCAATACTTACCCGTACTATATATTACATATATACGTAAGTGAAAGTAAAAATTTATTTTGAAAATTTCATGTATCTCAAATGATAGTTATATAGTACAACTTTATTTTTATGATGAACCGATTTCCTGGTTATAATGCTCATGGGTGCCCAGAAGGGAGTTCATGGCGCAATTTGCAACATCATAATTTTTGAGGGGGCACATTTTGAATTTTTGAGGAGTGACTTCCGAATTTTCAGAATGAAAATTTTCAAATCAAGAGGCAAAGGGAAAATGGAACGAACAGACCGCAGAAACTAATTGTTTATGGTCTATTGTTTTTAATTCTACTTTCATTTGCACTGTTTTTAAGAAGAGGAGTAGAATAAAGTATATTGGGAGAGGTGTATTATTACAGTATTGGCATTTTGGTTGTGGCTGTTTGCTAATGAGATAGGAAGGAATCGGATCGGTGTGGCCTATTCTCAGTCTTGTTAAGACAACCTCTTTTCTGCAGATGGGACAACTTTATGTTGACCATGGCTTTACTGTTTAATTTGCTTGGTGGGCTCTCATTCCATATGGATTGCCATCTATGAAATATTTCTGGTTTGAGAGGAAGACTATCATCTTGTGGAGTTAAAATGGCAGTGCCCAGGGTCTGGAAGAGTAAGGGCTTGCTTGGCTGCCACATCCGCGAGCTCATAACCAATGATTCCTATTTTGCTTAACACCCAAAAAAAAAAAAAAAAAATTTTTGCAGTATGTTTAAATATTTATGGATTTTTGAAGTTACTGTGTAGTTTTGTTGCCATAATTTTTGCAAGTTTATAGGGAAAAGAGACTAAATGATTATTCAAAATAATCAGAAACTCCTTGAAATTTAACAATTAATTAAATTAATTTGTTTAAGATAACCATTCAGCTGGTTATTTTACTTATTATTAACATTTTTTTTAAATGAATTTGGAAAAGGAGATAAATATTAAATTCATACTCTTTAGGTCCTGGTGAAGATGAGAAGCTTATTGTGACATGATTTAAATGCCAGTATGCCATTTAGATAAGAAAACACTTTTAATTGAGCTGTGGAGATATTGTTGTATGAAAATTTTATCTTCCGAAATCTTAAACAAATAAAAGGTTAAGCAAAGCATTTTTTTCGCATTTCTATTTTCACTTATTAGTTTGTAAATCTATTGATCTTTTTATAAAAACACTTCATATTTATCTAAATGGTTTTAATGTTGAGTGATTACCTTGTCAAATTTTAAAATGATATCAAGATATGAAAATACAACAGGAATATCTTAAAATAATAAATTCCAGAAGCAAAATTTTAAAAATCAGATAAAAAAAATAATGATCAAGGAGGAAAAGAAAATTCAATAAGGTTTTAAAAACTATAACATGACACTTTAATAAACATATTTTACAAAAATAGTTACAAAGTAATCTCATAAGTACATACTTTCTTTCAAAAATTTTAAAATAGTATCATCGACCTTATAAATTAAATTTGTAAGTACAACGATCTAAATTACACAATTTCTTTTAAATAATTTACCATTACAAAATGATACACAACTTTACAACTTATACTAACACCTTTATACAAGTCTTTTTTAGTTTGAAGTAGTATTCGGCTACAACAAACCTTATGATTATTAAATACTTTAGTTTTCAACAATCAACATCCATTTTTACAATTGGCAGTATTCAGCACATCATTCAAGACTGCAAACTTTTTGGCTTTCAGCTTTCGTATTTCTCAGAAATAACTTAATTTTTCAAGAACGGAATAATATTTATCTAAGCAAGACCTGCATCTTGGGCCATACTGTAGAACAGTGAAGACCTGTTCTTAAGAAGGACTTTAGGCGAATCAAATTCTAGTACTTTTCCTTGATCCAAGACGAGAACTCTATAAATAAAATAAAATTTATATATATTATTTCTTATTATATAATAATTATATCCAATTCTTAAATAAGCAATAAATATAATTTTATAGAGAGAGAAGTTGATTAGAGGTTGGAGTCAGTGAATTAGACAATAAAAATGAATTATTTTCTTTGTTCTGATGTTTCTGTGTATGTTTTATACCTTCATCAGTGCTAACTTAAAAAAAGATACAAATTGTATGATGTAAAAAAAATAAACATAATACTTAAGAAGTTATAAAGTAACCGTAAAATTCTTATTGAAATAAACATAATAATTTATTTTTTTATAAGTTACACATTTTTTTTCTGACATTCAATAAATTTGCTATCTACTAATGTATTCAGCAAATATAATAGCAAGGAGAACAAAAGATAGAAAAAAAAAAAAAAAAAAAGAGTAAAATGAAAATAAGATAACGTAATGAGACAAAAACAAAAGATAACGCAGCAAGTAGCCCAAATACAGAAAGTCTCTTGGCCCAGCACCTCAACAATCTTCTGTATTATAAACGTTCATTATTTTTAATCATTTTATTCATATAACTCAATATTCCGTTTCTATGTTTTCGTTATTATTCTATGTTTATTACATTACAAAATAATGAGGATTATGTGGATTTGTGGTAGTAGATAGAGCTTGAGTAAATCGATTTGAATTTAGAGTTGTCATGAAAATTATTAAAGGGGTCTGTGGAATTTGCCATGATAAAATTTACGAAATAAACAAAAAATGGAACGGAATATTAAGTCATTAAATAAATCAGAAGAATAAGAAGCAAAATAAATTAAATAAGATGTGGTAGTTACTACAAGTTGACGTCATTCTGTGTTACGAGAAAATGTAATAAACATAAAATAATGAAAAACATAGAAATGGAATATTGAGTTATACAAATAAAATAATTAAAAATAATAAGATGTGGAATCTATAGAAGCACCTCATAAATATAATAATGAATCGAAATATTCAGCTGTATAAATTAAGGGAATAAGATGTAGTGATACTATAAGTATATCTAACAATATCAAAGAAATTGATGAATGAGTATTATTTTCCTTCTAATGTAATTATTTTATTTTTGTTTTAATTTGGCAACATATTCAACATTTTGGGGCTCTGCCCTATCATCGGAAATTGTCTTTTATCGATCGTAATATTAGTCATATAAATCTATAATATGTTATATTGTCATATTTTTAAACCGTTATTAGTTAACATTGTTTTATTAAGAACATTTCTTTAGGTCTTAGCACTGTTAGACTCATCATTCTTCCTATATGGAATAATTCATCAAGATGTGATTAAGAAATAATTGTGTACTTCACTGACAACAATACCCAACCTTTATTGAATTTTAAATTCTCAAAATGGAGACGAAGCATCCCTGATAGACATTAGTAATAAAAATGTTATGCTACGGATTAGAAATAAAATAAAGTGAACCCAGACCAAGAATATAATATAATAAACTTATCAATTCATATTATACAATATTTCTAACCTGTCGGAGTCCATAATTGTGTTTAATCTGTGTGCTATAGTAAGGACGGTACAATCAGCAAACTCTGATCTGATCGTTCTCTGAATAAAGTCATCAGTTTCCAGATCAACTGCTGCTGTAGCTTCATCCAAGATCAATATCTTAGTTTTACGGAGAAGAGCTCGAGCAAGGCAGATTAGCTGTCGCTGACCAACACTAAAAGATATATCATTAAATTATAATATAATTTTCTTTTTATAAATATAATTAATACTACTAAAAAGCTTCAGAAAACCAGAAAATTCGCTGTCTACATACTACATCTACTGACCGTTATCCAAACACAACTTAGCAAGATCAGCTATAACAAAATCATCTAGCTTTCTTTTCATTCGACCTCTTGGACTTTTATGAGTCAGCAATTTTACAAACCCATTTAATTTGCCAAAAATCTATCGCCTCACTGTTATTTACTGAGTACAGTTCTCAAATTTCAGAAATGTGTAGCTATCTGAATTTCCTAATTTTATCATCTATCTTGGGTCCAAATATATTGCACAATACTTTATATTCAGAAAATTTAAAACGTTGTTCATCCCCTAAATGAAAGCGGCCATATTTAACATCTTTGGAAAACTATAGGAAGTATCAAAGTTTTAAAAATTCTAATTTTTTAGTTTCAGAAGAGAAGCTTTAAGCTAAATAATTTTGCTTCGTATACACGATAAAAATATTTTTAAATCACATAAAATAAAAGAAAGGAGTTATTTTTTGTTAGACAACTACAATATTAGAAACTTTAGAAAAGATTAACAAACCTCAAATTTTCACCTCCTTCAGACACTTCATGCTGGAGCCCAGCGGGTAACTCTTTTACAAAAGCTTTGAGATGAGAGAGCTCGAGAGCCCTCCAAACCTGTTCATCGTTGTAACTGCCAAAAGGATCGAGGTTCATTCTCAAACTTCCAGAAAATAGTACAGGGTCCTAAAAGAAAGAAGAAATAAAATAGTTTTTAAGAAAATACAAGTATTTAAAGAGATTATTTAATTGAAATTTTAATTAAGAATAATTTGCACTCATGTTGATCCAATAGTAACAAGTCTTAAGTTAAGAAGTGTATTTTTACTGTATTTATTTTGATAAATTTAATCATAAAATATTATTTGCTACAAAATTTATGAGAAAAGAAACAGTCAGTTTCAATTTAGCGGTTTGAAATTTTTTATAAGTAAAATTGTTTTTAAATTAAATTCAAAGTCATTTGTTTTATTGAGTATCATTACCTGAGGAATAATTGTGAGGCGAGACCTTAGAGCATGAAGACCAAGCGTTGATACATCCACACCATCTATTAGAATTTTTCCACCAGCTGATTCTATTATCCTAAATAAACCCAAAGTTACAGATGATTTTCCTGCACCTGTACGACCAACGATGCCAATCTAAAGAATAAAAATAGAAGAAAACTAATAAATTTCAATGATATACAAAATTATAAATTATTATGATGAGATCCTATTACTAATTCACATTTATTAATAATAGAAATCCAATCAAATTTAAATTCTAACAGTTATTAAAAAAAAAAATCAGAATAACATGTCAAATGCTTTTATTTTGCTTGAAAATAATAGACAATTGCACGGTAACTGAGATCATCAGAGATCATTTTATATCTGTTTTAGAAGCCACAGAATATCCATAGAATTTCAGAGGGGCCTGATAAATATTCCCCCCTCTCCTCCTGCTGCATTTCAGCCCCTTTAGGGAGCCTGTTTTCACTAGTCTTTATAGTCTAGCACTCCTGTCGAACTCCTCGTAATTGAATTAAAAAATTTAAAATTCGAAAGGATTCAAACAACAGATTAGTAAATTTAAAAACAACAAATTTGTTTTATAACTAGCCATTGTAAGCTTTGCAATAAAAATTGTATATTAGGTCCTAGGATTTATAAAGAATCGAAGAGGAAGTAATGGATTTTGATGGACCTAGAGTTTATTATGAAAGGAAATGTATCTGTGTAGGGCCAAATTAAGATCATTTTAGATGATAGGAATGAGTATTGGCGATTTTAGAAAATAATTGTAAGGATTGTAAAGATCGGATAATTTGATGACATTGAGCCCTAATGAGATTAACTTCGTAAGTCCAATCTTATCATTGTCATACAAATGTACCTTTTATAATTAATTAGAAGCTCAGTGCATTTGTCTAGTAAGTGTTGAAGTTACCAGAATTGTTAAATATTTTGCAGTAAAATAAATTGAAAAGTTATGAAAATAAATAAATTGTTATATTATAGAAACCAATTTTGGTGTAAAATATTCTTTACCTTCTCGCCACCTTTGATAGAGAGATTAATTCCTTTAAGAACCAAGTCCAGACCTTCTCGATAACGGACCGTATAGTCTACAAATTCCACTTTACCTTCCTGTGGCCAGTCAGTTGTTGCATTATTTGTAGTGAGATCCCAAGGTGCTTCCTTAAAAATTATAAGTAATTTTTAAGCATGTCAATTTTATTATAAATAATTCCAAATTGACATCTGATAATATAGATGTAGACAATTTTTATTTTTTTAGATAGTTCTACATATAAATTACTATCCACAAATAAATTATGGTGAGTTATTACTAAAATAATTTTTATAAATATAATGAAAATGATAGTTTTGCAATAATGGAAGTTTAAAAGTACAAAAGATCTTGTGTTCACAATAATACCTGAGGTGTATTCGAATATTCTTCTATTCTCTCTACAGCCACAATGTTAGATTCAACTTCTGCTACCATGACAACTAACATGTACAAGAATATAGTAATCTGGAAACATACATTACATATTATACATCAGAAAGAAGAAATGATAATACATAAATAAAATAAAACAATGTTTTTTTCATTACCTGCATTGTGTAACTGACTGAAAGACCAACAATTCCTGGACTCAAATAATCTTTACCGATTATAGCAAAAAGTGATGCAAAAAAACCAATCAGACCACCTATTAATTGTAGTCTTATACCAAGCCATCTAAAATAAGCATATTAGACCAAGTAAATTATTTTATCATCTTATATCTTAGTAGAAAAAAATAAATATTATATCGAAAATTACTTACCTACCAGCAACAATACTGGCATAAGAGGAGGATTGATTCAAATCCACTTTCAGTTCAGATTCTTTGATGAATCTTTTCTGTGCACCGTAAGCTCTTATTACAGAAGAACCTACATTTAAGGAAATTTTTATACATTTAAAATCTAAACATTACTCAATGTTAAATTGAATTATTATTGTACAATAGCGGTGGAAAAGTTAATACAATTCAGTTTAATGTATTGTCTTGAGTTTCCAGAAAGTTTCCTTTAAATCAAATTTTTAGCAACTTGTCTTTCTTAATGAGTATATTTTATTAACATGTACAATTCACAATAAGCGTAATAAAATTTAAATAAAACAATGAGTGATTTTAACTTTTAAACTGGTCACTGCTAATAAAAAACATTCAAAATTTAACAGAATTGAGTTCAGGAAATTAAACTCTTTACTTTTCTTTTTCTTTAAAAATTGTTTTCTTTTAAAAATCAGAATAAATTATTATATGTTAATCTCAAACGTTAGCAAATAAGGAATAGATTTGTATGAATTTGACATTTTAAACATATATATTAGATGCTCTTTGCAAGAACCCTCAAAGAGTTTCATAAATTTTTTTTAAAAATTTATGAATGGTTGAAAATTAAAAAAAAATAAAATGTATTCCTTTGTTAAATTTTATATTTTCATTATTCTTGTCCCAGTATATCAAAAATAAAAGAAATGATATAATGCAATATAACCACCGAACACATTTATGTACATATGATCATGAAGTTAAAAAAATTAATTACCTGACACACTCTCACCAAAATGTGAATAAACTGGAGACCTTGTTATAGATTCAATTCTTCTTAGTTGTTGCGAAGTAGCAATATAACATTTCTACAAATAATTTTAAATAATAATGAAATAGTTTAAACATTTACTTATTTTAAAAATATTGAATAAAATATTTCTCTCATACCTGGACCCAATAGTAAAGAACCGCAATAGGGATAATGACTATTAAAAATGCAGGTGTGGTATAGCTAATAATAAATACCGTTCCAAATACCTACAATAAAAAATATGTCATCAATGAAAAGTTATAGTAGTAAATAAATTAAAATTAAATTTATGATATTCTGCCATAATTTGATCAAGTCAGTTAAATATGAAGGAACTGAGTGAAATATGTAAAAACTAGCTGTAAAATATCTTTCCGAAAATATGGAATAAAAATTACCGGAGCTGAAAACGAAAAACACTGCTTCAAAGTAAAAGGGATGCTATTATCTAGAACATCTATCTCCTTGGAAAAACGATTCAAGATTCTTCCTTGTGGTGTTGTATCGAAGAATGACATCGGAGAGTGCATAATATTCTTCAACAACATCGAATGCAGCAAAGAACCAGCATTTACTGCACCAATGTACCAGGTCAGCGAAGAAATGAAGTTTGCAAGTGCTAGAAATATTAAGTAAATACATTACTATTATCAAGAAACATAAATTGATCATAATTTTAGAAACATAGTAGACAGTAGATCAATTAGCTGGAGAAGTTGGTTAGTGAAGCAATCAAAATGAAAGTAAAAAAAAAAAGTTTTGTGAAAAAAAAAAATCGATTTTGACTGTATTTCCCACTAACTTTGACTAAATTTATCAAAGTTACTTTAATAAAACATTTTTTTTTTATTCTTTTCGTAACGACAATATAAACAAAGTTAATTAATAATTTATTTTTATTTATAAGTTACATATATATAGGATACTATTTTTTGTTTTTTTTAGATTTATTTCCAAAAATAAGCAAAATTATTTGAAGGTCTATACTTAAATATATATGATAATCGAAACTCATCATCTATGATATGGAGCATTTATAAGGTCTATACATATATAAAATGAATATATATCTTTTTGTCCACTATGGACTCCCAAGCTCTCAAGCTGGTTTTTCTCATGCCGGGAGAGAGGGCGGGAGAATCATGCCTGAGTTTGGAGATTTGAACTCATAATTAGTTTTACATCTCTTACTTCGGTTATCAGATTGCCGGGCAACACGAGGTACTGTGCACATGCGTTAGCACGATTGGCCACCCTTTAAAAATCCGTAAAGGCTTGAATCTTGAATCAATCAAAATATTTCGGCTACTACGCAAAGTCAAATTGAATGAATTGTTTTGTGTCAGCCTGCTCAGCCACCCTGATTCCAAAAAATTGTGTGAACTGTACCCGGTAAATATAATTGATGTGATAGCATTAAACAAATAAAATGTGCATGTAAAATTGTGGGGCTTAGTGGCAAACGAATATCTCAAAGGTTAATAAGCACTGAGACAACTGGTAAGCATCTAAAAGGAAGACTAAAGTGAAGGTGGGAGGATTATGTGAAGGCTGATTTTAGTGTGTTGTGTTTGGACAGAGCACAATGTATGGGAGCATGTAAACAACGAATGTTAGTATCAGCATTGAACCTTTGGCTTCTTTGAGCCTTTAATTATTATTATTTCTGAAAATTATTTTCATTTAAAATAATATCAAACCTATAAACAGTTAATGGGGAAAAATTAATAAATAAAATTTATATATTTACTTTGTCCTATGCCTAATAATCCATATAATTCCAAATACATGTTCCTCCTTTCTATATTTTGAGTACCATTTATAACTGTGTCGTTGTCATCAGACCATTTAGACAACAATATACTTGATCCTATTCCAAGTGCTTGGTTAACAACAGTAAGTGCAATAGATGTTGTCACCAGAAATGTTCCTATAGCTTTGCAATAATTGACGTAAACTCTCCATTGTATCTGAGAACAAAAAAGTTATTTTATTTTCAAATTTTGTCTAAAGTTATTATAAGTTTATAGAAGATCAAATTACTAGACGAATTTATGACCCTGCAGTAAATAGGCCCTTACACTAGAATTTTCAGTTATACAGAAAAGTTATATCAATTATAAATTTAAATCTGAAATAATTTTACCCTTCCAACTTCAGCTTTCTCTTCCTCTATTAATTTCTCACCAGCTGGTTTTTCAGAAATGATTTTCTCAGAAAGCTGTGAAAGTCTTCTCCTAAAACATGAAAATTAATTACCAAACTTTTAGCAAATGGTTAAAGAAGAAGGGGGAAAAAAGTTAAATAATTACTTTCTCATTGAAGATAAGGACGTATTTGAACTATACATGGATTTCTGATTACTGAGTTGTCGATGGAATGCAGGATTGGTGTTTATGATTTCTTCCTTGATATTCTCATCCAACTCTGTCGAAATAGCGAAAATAATAGTCATTAGGTTTGAACTAATAATAAATTCAGAATCCTGAAATTAACGGCAAAAGACATATAATGATTGTATGGTACCTTCTAATTCCTCAGTGTCAATCTCTTGTAAATGTGATATAAGGAATTCACTGAACGCTCCTTTCTTATCAAGCAATTCACGGTACGTTCCTACTTCTGATACTAAACCATCCTTAAGTACTATAATTTTGTCTGTTTCGGGTAGGAAGGTAATACTGTGAGTTACCAGCAGTCTTGTCTGAAAAATAAATTAATAAAGTATTTTTTCGTAAAATGAAATTATAAATATTTTTTAATTCCTATGTAGATCCGCTAATTTATTTTATTAGATTTTGTACGAATCCTGACAAGGCATGTTAAATTTTCATTTAACAGAAAACTAGTGGGTTTAATTAGAATGAGAACTGTGGTTCAAAGAAACTTAATGGATCAATTATTCAGTGGATAAAGGAAAGTTGACATATAACACTGACCAAACTGTTCTCCAAGAATATTTTAAGGCCTTATTTGTTTTAATATTAATTTTACTTCCTTTTTTTCAAGATTAATTATTTTGTTTTTTAAATCTTAATTTTTTGTTCTTTATAAAATATGTTATATATTAAGTAGATTACCTTGTTTTTAAGTACTCCGTTTGGACCAATGACATTCTCAAATATATGTTTACCAACATGACTGTCGACTGCACTCAAGGGATCGTCTAAGAAGTAGACATCGCAGTCGGAGTAAACAGCTCTTGCTAAGCTGATTCTTTGCTTCTGTCCGCCACTCACGTTGATACCCTAGTTGCATTCATTAAATATATAATTCTATTTGTATTTGTATTTAAATTTAAATACTACTTAAATAAATAATATATAAATTTATTTTTAATTATACATATGCCATAGGATCCTTTGGGTTGTGTCACTTTGCAAGCTGAGAAGCATAATATTTTTTTAAAGAAAAAATTGTTAAATTACTATCTTTTATTTTATTATTTTTATTCATTTATTGAACTCGTGCTTGATATAAATTATATTGTTTTAAAAAATAACCCATTGGAGGGCCATTATGTTATGAAAAAAAATTGGAAGACAAATAATTGATCAACTTATGAAACTGACAATATTAGTTGTCATACACACAAGAGTATCCTAGGATATTTTAGTCAATAAATTTCTAATTTAATTGGTTGGGAGTCACTATCAGCCATAAAGATAGCCTTTCTAAAGCTGCAAAAAGCTGCACCAAGAGTTAGGTTGGATTAAAATGCGAATAAAACTAAGTATATGCAGACCGATCCAAGGGGGGGGGGAGGGTAGGGACTCCAGTGAAACGGGAATTGAAGGCTTCAAGTTTGAATGTACCTCATACCTCTGAGATTATATACCTTTACTCCTAGGATAACATGAACAATGATATAAATGCAGAAATCCAGAGACACATCACAACCGCAAATAGAGTCTATTTTAGCCTTCAAAAATATCTAAAAAGCTGAGTGATCACACATACAACCAAACTGCACATGAATCAATAAAACCTCAATTAGACCAGTCTGGAAGCAGACATATGAGGTTAAAATGTGGAGTGTTAGAAGATATCAAGAATCCAAGAAGCAGACCTTCTTTGATTTGAATATCTCGTTCTACGAAGAAGAATATTTGGTCTAATATTCAATAATAACTAAGAATGGCAAATAAAAATGAATGTAAGCTCCAGGACTTATATTGAGATGCCGATGTGAGAATAATAAGGATTAGCAATTAAGATGGGCTGTATACGTTTGCCGGATGCCTTTAGATCATATATTAAGAAAATTACTATAGAACGAATTTACACAAGGCAGGTAGGTTAAAATTCAGATGGGCTAATTGAGTGGAAGCAGTCGCTCGAGCTATCCTTAGAGTCGATGATTGGATGCAATAAAGAACGGTCCATATTGATTCCTGTGATTATTCCATAATATGAATGCAAAAAGAAAATTGAAAATTGGTAAGATTGTATAATTATTATACATGAAAAAGAATTAATTTCTATATGGAGGGACTTACTTTTTCTCCGATTTCAGTTTGGTCTCCACCAGGAAGCATCTCTAAATCTTTTTTCAATGCACACGCATTAATAACTTTATGGTACTTTTTACTGTCTAGAGTCTTTCCAAATAATATATTGTCTTGGAGAGTACAGTTCTGTATCCATGCTAGTTGCGGCACATAGGCTATACTTCCCTATAAAAATAATTCAAATTATATATAACAAGTATACAGTTTTTCAATTATATAAAAATAATTCAAATTATATATAACAAAGATACAGTTTTTCAATTAGGTTTAATTTTTTTTTTAATGTATTCATAAATGTATTCACAAAATAAGAAATTAGATAAATAAGAGCATGGGCGGATTTATGGGAGGAGGGCTTCAGCCCGAAAGCCCCCCTCCCGTATATCTGCCCGTTTTTCTTCCTCCTCCAAAATATTAAAATATAACCATGTTTTATCGAAAAATATATTAAAAAATTATCTCTTATAGTATTATTGTTCGTGTAATTACATTGTGCACTAACAGTAGTGATTGTTAAAACTATAAATTTAGCTGTTCAAACTAGTAATAATATTTTAAAATAAGTCTGTAATTATTGGGTTTAATATCTTTATATATTCCAATTAGAGCAGAAAAGACGAGTTTTCTTATAAGATACCAACCTATTCTAGCCAAAATTAGAAATTCAAGTTTAATTCAACAGGCATAAAATTAAGTTTTTCACACATGTCAGAGGTTTACGGTTTTAAAGAACTGTGAGAAAGAAAAATATGTCTTTTGAAATTCTTGAGTAAAATAAAAGTATTAAAATGTATACAGTAAAACTAGGGAATTGAAGATGAGTAACCAAATATAAAATAGAAAATCTTTGAACTGTTATTAGTTTAATTTTGTAAATTAATAAATAAATAAGGTTGGAAAAATTTATCACAAAAAAATTCTTTCAATACTTCATTCTAGAATTCTGGATAGGATCTAGGTCTCATAGGCATGTATCAGCACTGGCAGACCTAATTAAAGTATTGTACATTCTTAATTTGATAATCATAGAGATTTTTCTGGATTTAAATACTTTTGAAAGAAAAAATCTCTGTTTGTGCTTGTTATATGCTGGTCTATTTCTGTTCATTAGTCATTTAATGAAAACAATCGAAACTATTATTTACATAATCAAATTTATGTATTGTAGCAGTAATTTTTTTACATACATCAAACATAGTGAGCCTAAAATATTCTTTGAACCAAAAATGATAAGAATTTTTTAAAATCCAATTGAGAATTGAAAAATCTTGAGCAAAAATTGTTAAATGATATTCGAAATATGAAAACTTACCCTTGTGTTAACTCTTCCTGACACTCTATGCATTTCTCCGAGGAAAGCTGATATCAAAGATGACTTGCCAGAACCGACCGCACCGACTACAGCAACAAGTGAGCCTGGTTTTACTTTCAGATCAAGATTATGAAGTGTCGATGGCTCATCAGCTCCCCAAGAGAATGTACACTTTTCCATAACTAACGGTTCCTCTTAAAAAAATAAACACAAAACCATATAAATAAAATTTAAATTTAAAATAACGCTTAAAGTCATCATAATTAATAAGTATGTAAGAACTAAACCTAACTTCTGAACTGAGCAAGATGCCTAAAACATTGCAAATAAATTAATTCTAAAACATTTTCGAGAACATACCATCTTTAGTATCATGAGTGACGGTATCCAAGTCCAAATCTTCACTATTTAAAAACTTGTTTATTCTTTTTATCGATACTGCCGCCTGAAAAAAAAAACTTCAAGTCATAGTTTATATCTTAGGTGCATTGAAAGTTTTGATACATTTCAGCCATTCTCTAGTAAGTTAAATATATTACTGTTAATATTTTTAATGTTATAAATGGAAAAATCGAGACTATAAAGCCATGGTTCTTTAGCATACAGTTAACCTGCCTTTTTTTTACCCAACAAAAACTTAGTTACAACTACTCAACAAATAATATTACTAAAATAAGTATCTGACTCTAAAACATTCACATTATCTTTTTGAGCTACTTGCTTATTTTAGTTAGCGGTGTATCCACTGAGTTTTTTGGGGCCAAAAAAAGCAGGTTAACTGTTTACCTGTATGTTAGAGATTTGCGGCATTATATTTTGGATTTTCCATTTATAATATAATCACTGTATGTCTTTTTTTGAGTTATATGTTTATTTTAGTAATATTTTAATGTATTAACAGAAATATGTTTTATTGACTTCAGAATGCAATTAAATATACATATCTTGGAATACCCTCAACATTTAGCGATAAAATATATTTTATTTGAAAATTGTTTGTAAATGAAATATATGAACAGTAGAACTAAAAATTGTAAAAAAAACTGTAATAAACTTTAACATGCTGAATTTTGCATTTACTCATGTTGTTTACTTCTGTATAACTGTTAAATTGTGAAAAAGATGTAGTAAAAAAGATCATTTTTTGTTTAATCAGTACATCGATAACATAGAAATGATAATGATGATAAAGGTAAAAGATGAGTAACCTGAATTGCACTGGAAAGAACCATAGGGACCATCATCAAAGGAGTTTGCATGATATTGAAGAGAGAAATGGAGACGAAAACTTTGGATGAATCGAGAACGTGCGTATCATCGAGGAGAACGTATGCTGCGAACGTTAGGATTGAAACCTAAAAGTTTAAAGATATTATTAATATACTTAAAAGAAAAATGAATTTCTTAATTAATTTAATTGATTAACAAAATTTACCTACCATAAAAGGAGCACATGACCAAACAAATGTGGTTGCTGCTCTGAGGTAAGCAGCTTTTTTAAGTATCTTCGTTTCTTTGTCCCTGATTCTCAAAACTCGATCTAAGAAGCTTGGCTCCCAAGCATATAACTTTAATACCTGTAAGAAAAAAATAATAAGTAAAAATAAAATATAGTAATAACTATTAATAAATGTCAGTATTTAATATTCTGTAATAAATAAGAGAGATCATCACACACTATAAATGATATAGAAGACTAAACCATCTGCTATAGTTCATATTAAAGCCTTGAAATACTTCATGGTAATGGTGTTCATTGTTCTGTTGTCCAACATATCCATGGATTAAAAGGAACGTCAGCCCTCTACTCCTCTCCAAGTTATCAATGGGAGTATTTTGTTTTCTACACTTGTCACTTCTAGTGTCACACTTTGAAATAAAAGTTATTAGAAGTGATTTAGTCCTTACCCTCTCACTTTCACATAATCTTTTATCATGCTTTGAACTAAAAGCGATTTTCAGATTTTCATGATATGCACAGTGACCATATTTTTTGTTCTAATTTCATCCGTTAATGGTAGGCTTGATTACGTTTTAAAATATTTGGAGCAGTTCCGTCCGTATAAAATGAACTTAAGCGGCAGAAAAGCGGTACTGACGTAGGTGCCTACAGGTCTCTAGCACACCATTCAGTACTCATAAATGGCTTAGTTATAGTTCTATAATAATGTTTTTGGTACATTATATTGATTTTATTAACATACAAATATTAATGCAATAATTTAATAGTAAAAAAAAAAAAAAATTGTTTTTTTTAATATTACTTCCTTTATTCTACACAGAGTTTGTTTAAGGAGACCACTATTGTAAAGATGATATAATTTTAATAATAAAACTTAATCCAAAAATTCTTTGCTGAATATCTTGAATTTTTCATTTAACACTTTTGCAATTTTACACTTAACAGTTTGCAATTTAACACTTTGTTTTGTATATTTGCTCATTCTTAGAGATAATTTAAATTGTTTATATTTCCCCAGAAATAAGTCATATTAATAGCTGTTTTATAAACTAAAATAATATATACCTAATCTGAACTACATATAATGAATAGTTGATGGGATGTTTAGTAAAACTCATATATCACTAATTTAAAAAAATTATATTTATTTCCTTTATTTTGTTTGGAAGCATCTGGCTTGAAAATTGTAAAAAAAAAAAAAAATTATTTTATTTTTTACTATTGAATTATTGCATTAAATTTTGTTCGTTAATAAAATCAATATAATGTATAATCACAGATTGACTCAACACCTAGCGTTTGTAGTATACATTGATGTATTATGATCATATAATGATTACAGTAAAAAAATGTAATGCACTTTTAGGAGTTTTCGAGGAATGTACAGAAGCAGCAAGAAAAGTAGGACTAGTCTTAAATAAATAAAAAACTAAATACATGGTAAAATGAGTGAGTTCAAAGGCAAAAGACATATTGAGGTGGCAGAATATCATTTCGAATCACAATCACAACGTATTGAAGAAATAAAGGCAAGGATAACAGTTATTGTCAATTTTATAAGAGCAGGATGTCTCAGATGGGCAGGTCATGTGGCCAGAATGGGTGAAGACGTGATCCCAAATAAGGTGTTGGTTGAAATCCTGCATGGAGCGTGAAGAGTAGGAAGACCAAAGTTAAGAGGGACAGTGTGGACAAAATGTCAAGAAGCTAGGAGTTCGAGACTAGATGGTGGCAGTGCAAAGCAAGGACACCAGGCGGATGCTGTTGGGGGAAGCCATGACTCGCTAAGTGGGTTGTAGAGCCAGTATAGATACATAGATAGATAACAGTTGTTATTAGGTGCTATTGGTCACTGGCAAAAATCTTTTAAAATCAAAATATAGCTAGAGCTCCCAAAATAAGAGTATACAAGACAGTCCTGCAACCAGTTGTTAGCCATGGAAGCAAATCCTTGACACTCACAATCCATGGTGAGAGGCTATTAATGTGTGAGAAATAAAACTCCTTTGTAAAATCTATTTCCCAACAAAAGAAGAGAATCTTTGGTAGATAAAAACTACTGAAGAGCTGAAGAAGTTAAGCAATGCATCAGATATTATATCCACCATAAAAATGGGAAGACTGTGATAACTAGATAAGGTGCAAAGAATGGAATATAGCAGGCTATATGAAAGGAGATGAAGGGATACCTCGATAGAAGGAGAAAAAGAGGCTTCGTTGGCTGGATGTTGACGAGAATGATCTTCGGAGCTTTTTTTTGAGGTGGTGGACCAAAAATGGATCTCTTTGGAGGAGGATACTTGACAACTAAGGTCTTAGTGCCATGAAATTCTTTTAAATTTTTTATATTTTTAAAGACAAAACTATAATTAAATCAATTTCTAAACAAAATGTCACAAACCTTCATCCCTGAAAGTACTTCATTTATCATTTTGACTCTTTCATCTTTATTCTTCATCTGCTTTTGCTGAAGATCTTTTGTTTTATTTACAATGAATGAATTCATAGGAATCATAATCAGCATAACAGCTAAGCCGGCGAGGACACAGGGTCCTGAAACAGAATATATTATAATTAATTAAACATTATCATTAATATACACTTAAATACATTGTAATGATTTACGTTTACATAAGATAAGATCAAGAAGACAGAGACCAAATAATCACAAGAGATGGAAATCCAATATTAGGTTATAATTGGAAAAATTCCAACCACACAGTATTATACCTCCAAATAAATACATGGTATATAAAAATAATCGAATGAGTGTTGTGATTTTTGATTTGTTTTTCTCTTTTCTGTCTTGATGATGCCTGAATTGCCAAAAAATTGATTTTTTTATATTTTTATCCACATTTTAGAGACATAAGGCTGTTGGAATTTTTTTTTATTATAACATAATGTTATATTAAATCATAACTCATAAGATTGCCTATTGTATTCTAATTATTTTTTATAAATAAAAAATTAACCTCATTTTATTTAATAATTTATTTGTATTTATTTTTCTTTACATACTATTATGTTAAGTATAATTTAATATCTTTTTACCATGACTTATTTACATACTTCTATCTATATCTTCTATTTCCGATTTAATTTTTTAATTCTTAACCCTGAAGATGACCCACATGCTTGAGTCTAAATATCAGCAAGTCTAATAAACCATATAAAGATTCCGAATCCTGAATATTCATCATCCTTATGATTTTATAATAACATTAAAAAATATACCATCTCTAAAAATAAACAGCTAAAGAACAGACCTAATTGCTGCCAGAGGAAATACAATGCTAACCCTATCTGCAAAGGGGCGAGGAACAAATAATTTATGTAGGTCAATGAGCCCATTATAGATTGAGAGTCGACAGCCATCAAATTAACTATTTCACCTAAAGTAGTCTCCTTCCTCGCTGCATTTGATAGTTTAAGAGACTGAAACAGAGAAAAAAAATTAATTAATACAAATCAGCACTTAAAACTTGTACTTACTACAGAACTGATTAAAAAAAAAAAATCAGTGACTATACTGTAAATTGTATCCAAAGTTTACATTATCATAATCCACAGTTGTAACTCTGAATACCTATATTAACACAGTGAGATAATACAAATATTCAGTGAAAGTAACCGTTACGTTAAACCCATGAACTATAATAATACTATAGTTATTTTGGGACATTTACTATGAATAAGTAAACTGCAATTCAAGTAGCATTTGAATGTTTGTATCAATTATAAATAAAGTGAATTATAAAACAATAAATTAAATATATATGCAAGAAACAGTAAATAAAGAAGAGATACATATTCACACCAACAGACATAGATGTTTATTCTTAAAATGAAATATGATAAGTGAGGTAGTTTTACAAATGGAGATGGGTAAGAAATTCTAAAACGAAGGAGCACAAATAATAAAGGATTTTTTTCATAGGTAGGTGTTCTATGGGAAAAGATGGGTAGATAGAGATCTGGTTTGGATGGAAAAACGCTGGATGAAGTGATAAAGAATATAGGAAGGTTTTTTTTATTTTATCAGAATTGGAATAAGAAGATACCAAAAGGTATTGTCATCAGAAACCAGGAAATAGCATCTCGAAGAAAATAGTACCTTTCTGTAAATGGTGGATATCAAGGCAGTTCTAGTGCGAAGCCCAACTATCAATAATGTCAAGCTGTAGTTGCCGTGAAGTAAAGGCATCACAATTCCTATGAAGAGCATCATCACAGCATAGAAATAACCACGCCACATTGGCTCATCACTTGATACAAAATTTATAATACGCCTAGAAAAAGCAATATATATTATTTTTATATTTGTATTTCATTTTTTAGATTTTTACCATCATTCAAAATATACAAAACTTAAACAAGTCTAATAAAAAACATAAATGAAAGTGAGCTATTTATTATTATTTTATTTCTATTTTTCTTGAATATAGTTAATTTTAATAATATATACATTTTTCTAGATGATCAAGAATTTGTTCATCAACATTTTGAGACTGGTCATCAGAAAACTAAAAAAAAATTGAAGTTTTTGGGCACTCGATCAATCAGAGACTGTTTGTAAGTTCTTTAGAATATTTTCTTAAAAGCCTAGTGTTTAGAATTGTCAATATGATACTAAATATATTTTAGGAATTATTTCCAATAGATACTGAACTTTAATTGCGAAGAATTAAAAAAAAAAAAATTGCGGATAGGACAATTTGTAGAAAAGTAAAGGATATTTAGTTTCATTAATAAAATTATATCACATCCATTCATGATTTATTATTTTATTAATACACTTAAGTGATAATCAAAGTTCTTTAAGATGTTGTGTTGCACATTAATAAAAAAAAATTCAAAATTTGACTTATTAACGGGAAGCAAAAAAATAAATAAATAGAAGACCTTCTTCAGACCAAGATAAAAAAAATTGAAGATCTTCTTCAAACCATGATAAAAAATTTAAAAGCTTCTTTTACCAAGATAAAAAATAAATATACAGACTACCAGATTATGCCTAGTAAACATAACACTGTTTATTTATTTGTTTGCAGATCACTTAAATGATAATAAAATATCTTAAAGATACTTAGCCTAAAAATAATTAATAAAAACTTAAATGGAGTATAATAATTTGAAATAAATCGATTATATGAAAAAATAAAGAAAGAAACATGAAAAAATTGAAGCATTTCAAAATACTTGGACTAATTATGGTGCATTAGAGATCTAAAACTTAGGAGATTTGATTTTCTTGTAAGTGATATATACCGACCCGAAGGAAATGGAGGACAACAGGAGTAATAGCAAAGGTAAAATGAAGCATAAATAACAAAACATATATTAGATAATGATTATGTAATCTATTTAAAAAGTTCTCTGTACGATAACAAGCCCTATCTGGGATCAGAACCTTAACACACGGAGGAGAAGAAACAATAAAGAATTGCAAAAAGAAACTGATTAGTCAATATCTCATGACATGAAGGCAAGGAGGTTAAGATGGGTGGGGAATGTAGCTCAAAGCAATCCATGAGGATGCCGTTACACAACAATGAATGCCAAAGTAGCAGGCAAGAAATCACATGGGAGGCAAAAATCCAGATGATAGATAAGATAAGCAAAGATACGGCTGAGCTTCATGCTACAAACTGAAAAGCAGTAGCCCAAAATAGGCAGAGGTGGAGAAGGCTGGTTCAGGCGGCCAAAGATCTACAAGGTCTGTAGAGCCAACCAAAAAAAAAAAAAAAAAAAAATGAAATCTATGTACATAATATTTTCATTGAATAACTTATAATATACTTTGGTTGAGGTTTTAATGGTAAATTTAATATTTGAAGGAGCTGGGGGGAAAATTATTCAATTATTGTTCTCTCTTTGGCTCTAGGTACATATGTGTGAACCGTTAGCTATTTATCTCTCTTGAGCATTTTTACCTAATTTATCTGGGCAGAGCATTTGCAGTACATATTTCAATGGTTGAATGTATTTAAAAAATATATTAATATTAATAAATATATTACTCACTTTAATAGTTCTGGACTGACAAATCCCAGGAATACCTCAATAATCTGCAGAAATGTAGCGAACATGAAGGGCCCTCCAAATGCTTTAATTAGAGGGGGGAGGATCGAAGCTTGCTTCTTAGGCTTTATTTCCTTGTGCCCTTCCACAAAATCGATTCCGTTAACTTCTTTACTAAATTTTGATGACTTATCAACATCTCCCCTGAAAAAAAAAAAGTAAATATTCATAAAATTTTCTGTAAAAACACTGTAGGGATTTTTTTTAATTGCGCATGAAGAGGAGTAAATCTTATAGTCATCAGTTTAGGCTAGATTAGCTTTATTGTTTCTTTAAATAAACACATCAAAATCTATATAAACCAGAGTTCAGAGAAAATTAAACTAATTAAATTAAAGTCATATGTTTTAGTATCAAAGATATTACTGTAGTTTTCTAAAAGAAATGGACATCACCACTTCCAACTTAAAACAATATTTACAAATGGTCTGTTTCTAATTGACTACACTGCTATCTAAAATGTTTTTCTACATAGAAAAGGGAATGAAAGATTGTTTTTCTCTAAGTCATCAGCACTTTTCCAACAACAGTGAAATTTAGATGTTGCCTTAGAATTTGTAGGTTTTTTAGGTAAATAAAAATTCAAAAATTGATGAAAATCTCTTTTAAGAAGTGAAGAGCAAGAAATTTCTTGGATAGAGGGGTTTATACAGGCCTTTGGACTTTGGAGGAATAGTGGGCACCTCTGTTAAAAAAAAAAACATTATCATAAATTACAACCTTTTTAAAAATAATTTATGCATAAAACCTAACAATATTCACCAGCATAGATATTTTTACCTTTTTACCTTTACTTCATATATCATATGAAGTTATGTTTTTACGAGAACGGGATAGCTCAGTGGGTAAAAAAGCACTGACTTTCTAAGCTCAAGGTCTTGTGTTCGAATCCAGCTGATGGTAGGTAATTATTTATTCTATTTCTTTAGCCATGGATCAATCCTGAGATCAGGAGACCCTCGAGCACACCCAGCCTCTTATTAAATGGGTACTCTTAAATAAATTACTAAGAGGGAAAAAACTGGCAGTTGAGCGTGATCCTGGCACGATCACCTCTTTATGCCACTAACGGATCCAGGATTTAATTTTGGAGAGGCTTCAGTACTAAATATTTTCTTTTTATGCATACATATGCTAATTACTTCGGAAGAAAGAAAGAAACTAAGTACCTAAATGAAATGGTGTTTAAGTTATTATTTAAGTCCTATTAAATGTAATCAGATGAACAATAATACTTTTAGAGATATTTTTTAACATGGTAATATTTTCCCATTTTGGGGAGAGGGTTTCAGCGGAAAGCCTCCCTCCCCATAGTTCCGCCTGTGCTTTATTATAAAGCCTTTATACAACTGCTGGTCTTGAAACCAGGGGTGACCACCCTCTCTGAGGTCGATGGGGCAAGAACCTTCTCCCTCCCCCCTCCTCCCAAGATATTTTATTGCTCATCTTTTCCTAAAAACAGAGCAAGCTAAGATAGAATTAGAAAAATCGTAGATCATATACAATTACACTTGCTGCGCTATGTTCCATGTTTTCCCCCTTGTCTGTTACTCTGAAAATTCATAACTCTGTCGAAATTTGCCCCCCCCCCCTCAAAAATTCAAAAACCCGTCAAAATATGCCACCCTCAAAAATGTTGAAGACGCAACTTGCGCCATGTAACCACCTGCTTGAAACAGTACTTCATTAAATAGTACTGAACCCAAGACCTCTAATGTGTTTTAGTTGTACATTTTTTTTTTTTTTTTTTTGGAGGGGTGTTATAGTCTGATTATAGAGTATTTGTTCGTCAAAATGTTTTTACAAGCAGATGTAAGATGGAGAGCTTTCAGTCTGAAAGCCATACTCTCAACTAAATAGAAAGTTATTTTTCATTTGTCCATATTTGTTTCAAAACCTAACTAGTTCAGACGTACTCGGGCGTAATACAGAGATTTTTGCAGCAACTATATTTATATTTTCTGTTATTTTATTGTTCTTACGAACTCCTCAGAACCTGTATTCGTCAGTATACGCATCCTACCGCAAACGAAGGAGGTTGGGTAACGTTTTTATTAAGGAAACTCCTAAATAAAGTAAATTATGTGTTATCTCGAAAAAACTAAAATAAACAAGTCCTCTTCATATCTCAACTCAAAGGAACAATATTTTTTGTTTAGAATTGCTAAAAATACGACCCATATCTAGTTAACTGTTGGTGATTGATAATGAGACAATCAGCTGGAGATAAGATAATGGCTTAATCCATAGCGCCGCTTATTTATTCATCTTTTTTTATTTTATTTATTTATTATTTTTTACTTTCACTTACCTATATATGAAATATGTAGTAAGGGACTGTATTGCGATCATGAAAATTTTCGAATATGAGTTTTCAACGGAAATATATATTTGAGGTCTTCTGAGTCCAAATAACCAAGTCCCGAATGATGGTCTGAGTGTGCGTGTGTCTGTATGTGACAGATCTAGCTCAAAAATGAAAAATCGTATGAAAGTGAATATGTAAGGTTTTTATCTGACTTTTAAACTAAATTTCAAATTAATCAGCCTAGAAATTACGGAGAAACACCGCGAATGCGAACGGCGTACTTCAATACTCCATTTAGTTGGAAATCAATAAAAAAAGATCGGCAATTAAAAAATAATTAATTACATTGATTGGTCCTCAAAAAACGAGGAAAAAAAACCTTTAAAAATCGTTAAAACAATAAAGAGAAGTAAACAATTCTACAATTAAACACTTGATAAACATTTTAATTTTATTCTTCGATTAAAAATAAAATAAACAAAACTTAAACCACTTAATAAAAAATGCATAGCTGTCATTTAAACAATGTGAATAACCACGACATCTTTGAGTGGTATATTTACACTGAATAATGGACGCTAACAACATTGCGGGTTCCCTTTCAATTGCGGTCAGTTAGCCAATTGAGCAGTTGTTAAGTCAATTGTCAGTAGGCGATACAATGGACATGTTTTTAAACTCAGCGCTGAGATCATCGATGACAGTTACATAGAGTTTAGAGATGGATCCGATACCATCGATGACCTCAGCAATGTACGAAAATGATAATTCCATCCAATTTTATACTGCTATTAAATCTTCTTCAAGTTCGATTTTATTCTGCTTTAGAATCCTCCCTTTTTACTAATACATCCTCTATACTTTCTTTCTTTTCCTTTATTCCGTTTATGTTCTTGGTTGTTATCCTGAAACCTATTTGGACCTACGGACTTGGACTTTGGGGGACAGCAAAATTTTATAACATCAAACACATCCAATCCTTTCAGTCCACTGTCTTCCGAACAATAGTCGATGCTCCGTTCTATGTAACCAACAAAACCCTACATCACGATCTTAATACCCTATTTGTCCTCGACCTTATCCCTAAAAACTTTTCCAAATTCCATCAGAAACTTATAAATCATCCAAATACCCTAGCACAATCCCTATCTAGTTCCACCCATTCCTACAATCCTCTTCGAAGGTTGAAGCGGCAGTGGCCCAGAGATCTTTTGTAGTATAGATCTTGAAGTTCTGGCAATGGCCAGATTCTCCACTCAAGATATGAGTGTATGTGGCTATAGCGCAGGGATTTCTTAGAGTCCTGCTTTTCCTTCTATAGTTGGGGGGGGGAGCCTGGTTTGGGGTTCTCTGCCTAATTGTATATATTGTATAGAGGTATGACTGAGTTTTTATGCGTTTTATTTATCAGGTTATTTTTTTTTATTGTACATAGTTTTTGATTATTATTTTACTTTTGTTAATTTTATATTTTCTGTACATATGGTGTGAATGTGTTCATGTATCGCTATAAACTATTGTCCACGTGACAGATTGTTATAATCCTAAATAAATAAATTAAAAAAAAAAAAGGTTGTTATTCTGATGATCTAAATCCTATAATATCGTTTTTGTATATTATACCAAAGGAACTTTTCTCAGAATAAATAAAGAGTTTATTATTATAAAGTTTTCGAACTTCTCTCGTAAGTTGTTACTCACATATTCTTTTTCTTCCGCTCAGCTAGCCAGAACTTGTTGTAGTGGTTAAAGATTTGGGCGGCGGCATCTTGGTATTTTATTGGCCAGATGTCACTCTGTACCAACGGCCTCCTGAATCCTTTGTACACCATCGGCTCGAACCAAGACAGCAGGAGTCTGGCGGGGTATGGGGCGGCTTCTTCCGGGCTGGGATTCTGTAGAATATAAGAAAGATATATTTTTAATACAATACTTACATAACTGAATTGCTAGGATATTAATTTGAAATCCTATATTCGCCACAACTAATATTTTGAACGGTCCCGAAAATAAAATAATTAAAATATTACAAATTAATATTAACAAAAGTGTAATAATAAACCTTTTTTTGTTCTCTTTCTCGCCTTATAGGCTATATGGGGTTTCCCTGGTAAAAGGGTGAGGACGGAGGATTAATGCCAGAGTTAAAAGGTCCTCCGAAACGCGAACTCGAATTATTTTTCAACTTATAACTTTGGAGATTAACTATTTCGAAGAATTTCCTGTTTATAGTCAGAAAATCGCTTCTTGTAACTATATTCGTTATATAAAAGTGTTTGTTTCATTTTCATGTCCTTACAATGATTTTGTTACAAAAAATAAAGTCGAAATTCACAAAAACATACACGAAAGTTGACCGATATAAAAAATGTACTTTTTTCAATAAACTAAAGATATGCATGGAACACGAATCATTTTCAAAATTAATGTACCAAACGTGTATTTATAGCCTGTCGTGCTAAAATTTAATGTGAAGAATTTAACTTCTAACTACTGCAATGACTTCTAGTAGTACCATTTTAGACATAAATTATAAGGGATATTATGAGAAGGAGTTGATTGGGAGAGTGCGGTCAAATAAATACTAAATATAAAAATAATATTATTTAATTATTAAGCCGATGCGTCGGCGACGTTTCGATCCACCTTGCAGGTCTTCATCAGGGCGTGGCATGTGGCACTGCAGGAGGCAGTTGATAGACTGGATGAATATATAAGGGATATTCATGATTTTTTTGCTATTTTAAATTGGTACTCAATTTAAAATGCGACAAAAACTAAATACATACACTTACCTACTCAAACCCATCTGAACATACGCCTCTCAGATCTACGGTTTGGCAAAAAAGACGCACTTACAAAAAGTACAGTCATACCTACAAGAACCTACCTTCCTCACCCCGTCCCTCCTCTCAAGATATTTTATTGCTTACTTTTCTTAAAAACAGAGCAAGCTAAGGTAGAATTAGAAAAATCGTAGATCATATACAACTACACTTGCTGCGACCTGTTTCATGCGTTCATGCCTGTCATCCCTTAGTCCGAAAATACATAATCCCGTTGAAATTTTTCCTCCAGAAAATTCCAAAACCCGTCAAAATTTGTCCTCTTAAAAATTTTGATGGCGCAATTTGCGCCATGATACCCCCTTCTAGGCATCCTTGCAAGGAAGTAACCAATGGCCAGGAAGAGGTACTGCTGGGTGCTATCCTTCCTCATGCCTGTAATGCCAATCATTATTTATCACGATGAATCTGCTGATTATCAATGCCACGATAGGTTCTGATAGATATTTGAAGTAGAAAAAAAATTAAGATATAAATATACCTTTACTTTTCCTGACTGCGTGACGTTCACGAGTATTTTTTTACATTTTTTCAAAATTAATATATATTTTTCTCATAGATCTATATTATGCGAAAAAACATAGAAACACTATAGTAACCAACCCTAAATCTGAAAACTACACAAGTATCACAGAGTATATTAGTCAGATAATATTTGATTTAATTAGTGGCACTTAGGAGATAAATATAATACTTATTATGTTTTCGATGTTTTAAAAATAGCATAATTCAATTATTCATTTTAGAAGTCCAGTACCAACTGGAAATAAGTGAATAAAATATGATACGAATGAGAAAAATGAAATTATTTTTCCTATCTCATAATACACACCATTAAATTATTTTTAAATTATATCTTCAATTGTTCAATGACGAATATTATATACGATTTATTCGCACGAGCCAACTAGTCCGGATATATTTTAATAAAAGAACAGATCGAAGATAGCTTTGTTTTTAAAAATACGATTTCCAAAGTCTGACGTAAATCTGTAAGTTAATTTTTCATAAGCTTATCAATGTTTAATTATGTAAAGCCCGTAACACGGCCGGCATGACGTCATGTCTTCCTACATCGCTGCTATTAAAGTTTTGATCTGTTGATAGATCCTCATTTAAAGTGATGGATCAGTTTGTGGATTGTAATTTATCAAACGATTACAACACAGTTTGTTAAATAAGTGTAAGTAAAGCTGACAAACATGTAGTATCTACATGTGTGGATGTGTGTATTATTTCTTCATTATCAAACATAATTCATAATAAGCCATAATCATAATATATAGGTATTTATATCCTATGTATCCTTATATATAGGACTATATCCTTTTTCTTTTTCTTTCAATGTCTCCTGTAGATCTGTAAAAGTATATCTAGATCTTTTTACTTTCAGTTTAGGATCTTGTTACTCTTAGCTTACTTTGTTTATATTTTAATGTGCTTACTGTTTATAATTTTAATAAGCTTATTCACATTGTTTATAATTTTTTGCCTTAATATTATGTAACTTCCACAATTCTCTATATCTTTTTGAATCTTGCCCGTTCTGGCCCTGAAGAAGACCTGCAAAGTCGGGTCGAAACGTTGGCTTTTAATAAAATAGTTTTTCCACTACTTAGTCTATTTATGACCGCCACCCCGCACCATTTCCTTCCCCTGAAATACACACCGGTCAACTATTAAGTATTCAAAATCTATAAATAGTTTTACAACTTGTGCTATCGATCATTTTTTTATCTCTACGTTTTTAAATACGTGTATAAGTAATTTCACAAGATTATGCTACAAACTCCTTTCAATTCTTTTGAGAAATGTGTTATTTAAAAAAAGATTTCTTGATAAATCATTTTTAAAAACTTAATCTCAAAGGAAATGTTTATTTCCGAAGTTAACCCTATTCATTATTAACAATTTCTCAGGAAATGCGAAAAAATTATATTTTCTATTCCAATTGTAATATCAAAAGTGTTATTTTAAAAAAAAAATAAATTATGAAATCTCATATTTGTAGAACGAATTTCTGAAAATCACGGATTATTCTAGCAGTAATTAAATAAAAGATTGACCCTTGAATTGGTCCATTTTAAAAAGAATTAAATTTCAAAGCCCATTTTTAACTAAAAAATTGTTGATTGGGGTGTGTTTTGGAGGGAAAATATGGTGTATGATTTCGGGTGAATAAAGTTATAAAAATTGTACTTAAAAAAATCATTTTTTGTCTATAAAAATGTATTTGCGCCTGTCAACTTATTGTTGACAATCAGCAAATGTATGGTGATATAGGAAATAATGACATGACAGCCATGGAGAAGTAAAGTACTCAGCAATGCCTCTTTCCTAACGTGTTCCAATTACTTAGGTTGTTTAAGGAAGATCTCTCATCCAACGCCTTTTTAGTCTCCTCCCCATGTTCTGAGGTATGTCAGCTGTGGTAATGTCTCTTATTATTCTGTTATTGTGTAACTTCCACAATTCTCTATATATTTTTGAATTTTGCCCGTTCTAGCCCTGAGGAAGACCTGCAAAGTCGGGTTTGACTTGCAAACGTTGGCTTTTAATAAAATAGTTTTGTCACTATTTAACCTTTTTATGACCGCCACCCCGTACCATCTCCTTCCTTTATAATGCAACGGTCAACTATTAACTATTCAAGATATTTATATCGTTGTAACGATATACGACTTATATAGTTTATAAGTATCTATTGATAATGTTATTATTACTTTATTTATAATTTGATAAAATGGCGCCCGTGCCGTGGACTATTCTAAATAATAATAATTTTGCTTTTACCTTTGAGGGCGGATATTCGGACCTCCTTGGCGGCAAGTCGGAAACGCAGTAAAGCATAAGCATCAGGAAGTACAAGCAATAGCTGGCAATGTTTGATATCCTCATCACATCTGCCTCTTCCTGTAAAAATAAATAATAAATAAAAAAGATACATAACATAATACAATAATACAATTATACAGAGTGTAAACTAAGTAGAGATAAATAATATAGGAGTGTTAGAAGATCTCAAGAGTTACAAAAAAGTTTATATAAACAATGTATGTATTTTCAGCAGGAAAGTAGCAAATTAAAACTTCATTAGGAGCGTTTTGCACTTTTTTTTTGGAGAGTGAATTAGATTGAGCCATCAGTTCTCCGAAGTGTGACGCTCGGGTAAAGTCGGCTTTAGTCGATTAATTGATGTTCCATATGGATTAAATTATCTCGAAAACTAAAAATCGAATATGAATTTTGTTAGTGAGAGAAATGTTCATAATATTATCCTCTTTATAATGGACTATTATTCGAAATTGTATCTTAACCGGACACCGTGTTAGAAAGACTAAAAGGAAAAAATAGTTTCGAAAACCAAATGATAACGAGTTTTATCGAATATATGGATTAAAATATCTCAGAAATTAAAAATCTTTTCTTTTTGTGTTAAAATGTTTTCTTTTGTAGGTACGTTAAATTCTTAATGTAGTGTATCATTTGCGACATAAAACGGTGTGTCAACTATCCTTCACAATACTTTTGACTGGAAGGACTGAATTTTTTTAATGCTAGAAATTTTAGCGGAACTTCACAGTTCTATGCAGTAAGTCCGAATAGGTTTAATTAAAACTTTATAAAGGGTTAGTTTGTTAGTTAAAGATAATTTTGAACGTCTGTCAACTGATCTGGATAAAAGACCGTAACGTCTGTTTAATTCTATTCGTTTTTGTCGAATGTGAGTCCTCCAAGTAAGTGTTTTGTCCAGGTAACAATCTAAATACATCTGATTTTGGGATTTTAATATTTTTAAAATATATTTCAGGGGAAGGTTTATGGTTAAGAGTGAATACTACATGAACACTTTTTTTTTTTTTTCATTCATATTAATTTTCCACCTTGTGGCCCAATCTGCAATATCGTTCAGATGATTTTGAAGAGTGGTAGATGCTCGATTTTTCGAGATATTTGAGATTACTTAACAAAAAAAAAAAAAAAAAAAAAAACTTTAATTTCCTTCTTTCCTGTTAAAAATTAGGCCATTGTTTATATAAACTTTTTTTCATAACTTCAGGTCTACTATCACTCATATTATAAATATTACTCTCAGCTATATAAAGAACATAGTAATATATAAAATAAATAACTTGATATATCTTACATCCAAAATATGTCCCTCGATAGAAGTGTAAAATTGTGAAATTCCCATGAATGCTATTGAGAACCAGAAGAGAAAAAGAAGCCCGGACGTTCTCTGGCCATGTTTTCTATGGAATATTACTAATGTAGTACACAATACCTGGAATCAAGAACTGTAGTTAGAATTTATTATTATAAAAATACATATTTTAAATAATGTTATACACTTACAAAGGATATTGCTTTTATCGCAGGAGTGTAAATATCGACAAGGTACGCTGGGTCACTTTTAAATATGTTGTAACCTAGTTCAAATATACAAAGGCCTAGAAGAAGTGCGAGGGAAACCTGAATAAAAGGAAAAAATATTATTAATATATTTAAATATCATAGAATATGGGAAATATATATTTATTTATTATTAACCTACCATATCTACACTATAAAAAAACGCTGCACATTATTTCGCAATCGTTTATTATTTCCAAACAATTATATAACCTTTGCAGTAGAACATATAAAAAAACTAGAGACCATATCTTTGTTCCTAATTGTCCGATTTTAACGATTTTTTTTTTTTTTTGTAGGAAATTTCGTGAACTTTTAAATAACCAGTGGTTTTGGAGAACATGGTCGGACGGCCAACGGACAAACAAATTTTTATTCGTTTTTCTAATTCTACCTATCCTGAAACGTAAAACCTCAAATTTTGAGAGGAGGTTAAGTTTTTCAATCTTGTGTTCGATCACAATGGTTCATTATTGAATATAATAATCCAAAAATATTTAACAATCGCGATATCTTTACTAATATTGCTTTGTTTTCGATGAAACTTTCTTCGTTTTTTAGGAAATTTAAATATCTTTGAAACATCTTATTACAATATCGACAAAAAAGTGTATACTTTTTGAGTTATTCGGAATCTAATTTTACCATACCTCATAACTTTTTTGCAGTTTCTTTTGGTTGAAGTATGTAATATAGATACATTTAAAGGACAACGATAAGAAGACTATATCGAAGTTTCATTGAAATCAGTACATTCATTTAGGCGCTACAGTCTATAGCAAGGCAGTTTTTTTCGGTCGCCATCTTGAAAGGGAAAGGCGAATAGAAATGTCGATGAAGGAGGATTATTTTCGGGTGACCTCTAATTTTAAATCCAAATTTGAAAAAAAAAAATCAGTCCAGTAGTTACGGAGAAAATGCGCGGACGGACAAAATATTTTTTATTCGTTTTTCGAATTCTACGTATCCTGAAACGCAAAACCTCAAATTTCGAGAGAGAAAAAATAATAAACCAAAAAGTAAATTAATTTTCTAAATATTTCATCAAGGGAAAAATCCTGGTCTACTAAAACTAATTCTGGATTATTCCTGACTTATGAGTTTGGATTCCACTATACAGCAAGGATTGGGCGAATTTTATGAATTACGAAATTTCCCTCCTCCTCTTACATATTTTCAACCTCAGAAACTTTTATAAATTTATTTCCACATTACTTTGATGTAAGCATAAGACATCGGTGCCTTCACAATCAACTTCTCTTTGCATGTCATTAAAGAACTTTTCTTTTTCATAGATCATTGGGGGTATATACCACAGTGGGACGTTATTGAATAAATTTTTATTCGGATAGTTTATTCAATAATTATTCGTTAAATAAAATTTTAGTGATTGGCGGTTCCTAGACTAATCAGCTGATTTATTTCGATATTTTTTCAGTATTTTTATTGAAGAAAAAACAAATTATTCAATAAATATTTGTTTGAATAAATATTTATTATAAGAAAATTTCGACTGAATCTTTATATTTATTCAGTAAAAAAAATGACTGAATAATCATTTATTCTACATAAATCATTTATAAAAGAAATTATCTTTTTTTTTTTTTTAAATATGGATTCAATAAATATTAAGGGAGCTCCTTTTTTTTTAAAAAAAAAAGAAATATATTTAAAAATGCTACAACATAGATTAATTTAAAATTTGATTCTTCCTAACTTTTCGGATTTAATCGATATTACGGTACATTATTATGTTGTCGAGGGCTCTTTTTTCAATGAAAAAACTGTCCGATTCGACTGTCCTGTATATGAACATTATATTTCAATATTTTATATGAATTTGTAAATAGAGATGACAAACAGGTATTCCTGTTATAAACAGTCAAAGTTAACATCTAGACTTCGATGTTTATAGATACAACTAAATCACCGATGTTTCCCTGTTGACCTCTATATGTTGTTAATAAAAATTACAAGCTCTGTTTTATCTGTTACGAGTATTTTTCATTGCTGACGATGTCTGGATTAATCTAATTAATTAAATTTTTTTTTTTTTAATTCTCTCTACTTAGGAAACAAATAAATATTTAAAGACCCATTAAAATATCTTCATTACGAATAAGCAATTTTTTTTTTACATGGGTATAAAATGAGAGTTTATCTTTCTCGCTGATGATAACGAAATGAAAGATGAATGAGAATTACTACAATCTAAATAAAGAGTAGGCGCCCTTGAAGCAGCATCAATCATGAGGCTAGCCTTCATTTCATTCCCACTGCCTCCTGTATTAAATTCCAATAGAAAAATATATTTAAAATTTAAACAATATTTCGACAAATAATTTTCAAGAATTTAAGTTGTAATGTTTTTTTTTTTAAATTTATTTATTCATAATATTAACACAAGAAAACTCTTGTTGAGAAACTAGACAATGGTAGCACTCCAATAACATTATTACATAAGATGATCAAGAGGCCATCTTCTTTTCAGACACTTATCTGGTTTGGGTTAAATACGTTAAGGCCGCTACGGATGATTTTATTTGGGATAAAGTAAAGAGGATTTTACGAATTATTTTAGATTGTAAGGATTAGATGCGAGAGGAATTAGATGGTTTAGTGGAGCCCCAAAGCTCAATTCCGTAAGTCCAAATAGGCCTTATTATTGTCGTGTATATGAGTCGTCTGTAATTTATTGAAAGCTTAGAGCATTTGTTTAGTAAGTGCTGGAGTAGTCGGAAACGTCGAGCGGTTTCTTGTCGTTTCAGTCTTGTGTGAGGATTTTAATTTGTTTAAATTATGTGTATATTTCATTTCTAATTTTTAGTAATAATTTCGAAAATTATACCTTAACAGTTTTGTTCAATTTATCTCAATAGCTACGTAAAAAAAAAAAAAAAAAATGGTTTCCTTAATTTTTTACGTTGGATTGGATGTGAGAGGAATTCGATGGTTTAGGGAAGCCCCAAAGCTCGACACCGTTAGTTCAAATAGGCCTAAAGAAAGGCTCATATATATATATATATATATATATATATATATATATATATATATATATATATATATATATATATATATATATATATGCAAGTTTTAGTAACTATTTAGCCTTAATTTTTATTCAAAAAATCGATTTTTATTTTTACCAGTCCTAGTCTTGCTCTTGCAACAGTTAGGCGGTCTTGGTCTTGGTCGAGCAAACACCAAATTCATCAAAAACTGACGCAAATAACTGTAAATTGCACTGCAGCTTGGAAATGAGTTCTCGATTTTGGGCAAGTTAGATGTTTATCCAGATAAAGTCCTAGGTATCCGATTTGTTGAACAGAGATAAATGCGGTATTATTAATAAATACTCCAAGACAGGAAGTATTTAAGACCAATGGTTACAGTATTTTAAAAATCATAGGAACTGTGAGACCTTGCACAAAATGATACCAACCCAGAGGGGTATCGTGGCGAACGTACGTAATTTATTATCTATTGTTATATTTTTTCTTTAAATAAATGAATGTTTATTTGAATAACTCTGCTATCTACATCAGCTTGTATGTAAATATTTAACACTTAAAAATGCGTTCAATAATTTAGAGTCTAATTTATTTTTACATCTGTCAGATCTTTTTGACAACTGGCAAATTTCTGAGGTGCAGCTTTGTACGGAAAAACAAAAAAAAAAAATTTAAATTATATTAATACTTAATGAGATGTTTAAACCCTTAAATAAACCCTCTTTAAATCTTCTAGAAAAATGCTTAAAAAAAAAAAGATCAAAAAGTTTACCTCTCGGTAAGATTGCTTAGACTCAAAATCGTGTGTTATCCAAAATTTATTTTTGGGATAATAACTATTTATTTCTAAAGTATTACAAGTAGTTCGTATTTATAAATTAAAAAAAAAAAAATTAATTTGTGCCAATTTCGATATATGAAAAATAGAATTTTAAGAGCATCAAGTAGCCATATCGTCAATCTGTTAATGTCAAATCCCGTAGCGAAGAAATACATAATTAAATTTTCAGCATAGAGGAAAAAAATGTGAAACATCAAATTTTGAGAGGGGATTAAGTTTTTGAATTTTTTGGTCGATCGCAATGGTTGACTATTGAAAATAATAAACCAAAAATATGTAAAAACCGCGGTATATCTACTAATAGTGCTTTTTTTTTTTAAAATTTATTTATTACCAGATCGGCCTGGTGGGCCTTACATGGTTGTTGTAACAATTTGATGATTTTTAACAATTTGTTCTGGTGGGGTATAGTCTTAAGTGCTTTGATTTCGATGAAACTTTCTTCATTTTTTAGGAAATTTAAATACCTTTAAAACATCTCGTCACAATATCGACGAAAAAGTATAAACTTTTTGAGTTATTTGCAATTTAATTTTACCATGGCTCGTAAATTTTTTCCAGCTTCTTTTCGTTGAAGTATGTTATATAGATAAAGAAAAGCGTCGAGAAAATGACTTTAGCGAAGTTTCATTGAAATCGGTACATTCGTTTTGGAACGACAATCTATAGCAACGCAGGTTTTTCGGCCGCCATTTTGAAAGTAAAAGGCGAATAGTAATGTCGATGAAGGAGGACCATCCTCGGGTGACCTCTGATTTTATATCAAAATTTGAAAAAAAAATCGGTCCAGTAATTTCGGAGAAAATGCGCAGACGGCGGACGGCCAAAAAAAAAATTTTATTCGTTTTTTAAATTCTACGTATCCGGAAAAGTAGAAACTCAAATTTTGAGAGGGCGTTAAGTTTTTGAATTCTTTGTTCGATAAAAATGGTTCATTATTGAAAATCATAAACCAAAATACTAAATTTCCATAATATTAAGATAAGTTGTATTTTTTTAATCCATAAGCAACTGAAATACTTTACAGTACAAATGACAATTAATTGTAAATGCATAAAATATAGGAAAAAATAAATTAATAAAATAACCAGAAAAAAATCGATTTGTACTTGGAACGGACCCACATTTAGATCAGAAATATAAATATTGAAAAAAAAATCGATAGATATAGTTTCTATATTTTTAAAATAAATCGAAATAGTAATTCG